TACTATACAATATGCTCTTGAATATGGTAGTGGAAATGTCCAGTCAGAATTCAACAAATTGTGGCTTACAGCGCCTTGAAAGTCAAGGAAGAAAAGTGCCAGGGAAAAGTTCCCCTCCCCGTATAACCGAATTTGCCACAAATGTTTACGATTTCGCAGTCTACATAAAGTGTAATGCTACTATCGACAGGCTGATTCGAACCAAGCAAATCAAGAAAACGCCGAGAGCAAGTGGGAAGAAATTTCCTCATCTAGGCAAACTGCTGCCAGAAAATTATATCAAGCTATGGATGCTTTTTTAAAGCTTTGCAGTTGCAGCTTCGATAGCAGAGTTCAATGGCCCAACTGCCCGTCGCTTCACCACATTCCTGACCAGTCAGACTGCGGTGAGTGCCTCTCGATTGAAGTTTTCGCAGAATTGAATGAATTACTCATTTGCTATTAAGGGTAGTCTCTACGAGGTAAATCAATCCCTTAACACAAACTTCAATCCGCATGACATGAAAATACTTGCCGTCGGCGCTGCAGGTGCCGAAACGAAAGCCTTCTGACGCCTCAGCAGAGGGACGGATCCTCATGTCGGAGGAAGGGTGGGAGCGAGCTAAAAAGGTGAAGCCTTGCATGTCCCTCATCCGGCGCAGATGTCTGTGGCGCAACGCCAGGCGCTATCGTGCCATCCGGTATTACGATATTACGATATTTCCGCTCAATTAGTCAGACTATCCGGGAGCAAGTTCTAACCAAAGCTACTTCCCAGGGAAGAAGTTAGTAATAACTGGACTAGTTCTCAGATTGGGACAGTAAATGATAAATATGGCAACCACAGTTAACTAGGAGCCCTTAGGCTCTTCAGTTCTTCCTTTGCAAATAGCGCACCGGTCATGGACTCTCCGGCTCTTTGGAGAGTTCTCGCAAATTCACAAGGAAAACTTATCTACATACCTAGCTCATCGTAGAAACTGCCCCACATTGTGGTAATATTTTCCATGACCTGTAAGTGCGAGCTACCGCTGTTGTATTTTGAATGGCCTACAGAACATCTTTTCGACCATCTCACCAAAAAGTCTTATCAAGATAGCTGCTTATACTCAGATAGGTCAACTAGCCAATATAGCAGTGACCATGATGATTTGGTCCAAGCATTCTCTGTGTGTTGTTAAAAA